TTGACCTTGCTTTCGCAACGTGGTCATAGTGTTAGGAAAGCCTGGAGGAATGCACCTAGTTCGGAGTCCATTGTATGCATGATCATTTCCAAAGGCGGACCGTGGACGTGGTACATTCCCAGACGTTTCGCCGGCACCGTCAGTGAGTCTTGCCATTCTTAGCACTACACTACAACTCGTCAAAGAGACAAGTGTAGCCGATCCTTTAACCAAACGTGGCGTGGAATGTGGAGGGTTTTCATGAATGCCGCTCAAAGGAGCACACCACACGACATCGAATTAAGCACGGTAAAAAATTGTAATATTGAAAGCCAGATACGAGGATATAGGAAATATGAATAGCCCAGGGCATAAGGGGAGATACCACAACTGTTTAGTGCATGTTTGGTCGGCTTCACTTGTCTCTTTGACGAGTTATTGTGTGGTGCTAAGACTGGCGAGACTCAGTGACGATGCCGGCGAAACTTCTGGGAATGAACAATGTCCATGGTCCGACTTTGGAAATTATCATGCACAGAACGGGCTCCGGACGAATTGATCTCATTTGTGGTCTTTCTCAGACCCACAGGCGTCAGTTTTACTCTCGGTATCCATCAAGATGGCATCTAACCTATTATTTTACATGAAAAATTGAGTTGGGCCTGCCAGAATCCCAAAGGAAGACTGTCTTAAATTGTTTTTAATTTTTTTAGTTGAGCGCAGCAGCCCTCAGTGAACTATTTTTCAATTCATAGGAATCTATTCCGATCATCGTCGTCGAAGCAAGAAACTATCTTTTGGCAAGGCGTTTGAAAAAATCACCAGACCTGGACAGTTGTAATCATATAAACTACTTACAACACTGTAATTGAGTTTCCTACGCCGCTTTGATTAGAACCCCTTGGATTCCATTGAATCCTGCCTCTTGAATGACTTTTCATTTAGACCCAATTGCAGTTTTGACCTTTTCTCGGTCTAATTAACCTTCCTAACAGAATTTGAGCCTGAGTCATGCTCTTCAAGTGGTTTCGCGTTGTTATTCCTTCATACTGCCACAGACACCAGTGGGTCGGAGAGCAGATACAGTCGGGCGGGTCATTTCCATTCACTCTTATAATAAACCTTTGATGAACAAAAGCAGATGCTACCTACAACTGTTACTGTTGGCCTCGAACACATGAGTAGACACAGACACACAGGCATACGCTTGATAGGAACTAGTCCGATCACTCTATACTTTTTATAATCTTAGTTTTATATTATATATATACAGCATTTAGGGATAATTCGGTGAGTTTTCTTGGCTCATTAGTTCTAATTTAGTGTAATAATGCTATCTGGCTCTTATGATGTTCGTAAAATGGCTCATTTAGCCTTAGCTTCCAAACGGATATCTTATACAGGCTGGATAGTAGATTAGACTTCTCCCCTATCTCGTCAGCACCGTCAACGGTATTCGATAGTGGTTCGTGAGCATCATGGCGACTCCACCATGTTGCTTCTGGTGCCAGTAGGTCTCAAGGCAGATGTGACACGGCGTGCCAGGCCTCTCCCAAATCGTATTTATAATGGGATTGTAGATTAAGCAAACATGAGTTCTTATTCAAGAATTTATAATAGTCTCTAAACCTACTTATACCGAAAATAACTAACTTAGTTGATTGCAATGGCAAACACACGTTTGCTTAATCTACAATCCTACTATAAAATGTGCGTTAGAAGAGGGTTAGCTTGCCTTAATTGCCGCATCTGACCTGTTGCTTATTCACAACCGTGGCTGTGTAATGGAGTGGTGAATGCGCAAGCATACTCACGACTTGGTATTGAAATTAGGCTGGGGGTGCTGATGAGACCTAGGAAAATCCGGAACTTTAGTCTACTCTTTATGTATTAATCTTTTGGGAGACAAAGCTAGGTGAAATCAAAGGACATCGTCAGGCCTAGTTATCTAAGTGTGGGAAAAATTCAACTGTTGGGATTCCTCGAAACCCAACTTTTCTTCATATATAAAAATTCAACTTCCAGTCCTTAAACTGGCCTAAGTGACTTGGGATGACTAAGTTCTTATGCAGAGAAGCTTATCACACTTGCTCCGGAATAGAAGAGATTGCCTCAAAGGACAAAGTCAGCCAGAACGTTCCAATAAAGTCAAATTAAAGCTAAGGTGAATTCACCGTCGACTTCTGTTGGGATAGGCTTTCTAGTCTCTACATTTCAACTTCAACGAATGGTGTCGCTAAAAAACACTTTGCTCAGCAAAATTATTGTATACGACTTAAGTATGCTTTAAAAAATATCACTAGATCTTAAATAAGAAAGAGTAATTTTCTTGCTCGTTACAATATTTTATTAAAATAAGACATCTCATGACTTGGTTTGTGATAGCCTCATTGTCCTTCCTCAATTCTGGTAGATGAATGAGGGTGATTATGACATCAGTGCCCATGAAGTAAAACTACTAAAGGAGCCTTAAAAATCCTGTTTAAAAAGAAAAATTTGGTCAGGTCATTGTCATGTAAATTTTTCGTTCGGCTAAGCGCAATTTTAAATGGGGAAAAAATCCGACTGAGAAAGTTTCTGCATACTTTTAGAGCACAGAGGAAGGGAGTTAGACGAAGCTGAGTTCCTTGCCAACTAGAATGTGGCAATTTTTTCACATTTACAGGAGTCCTGTGCTCTCGGGCTTATCCCCAGGCCTGGTCTCACCGTTGACTGAACCTTTTTCTCAATTTTTGTCTTCTCCCACTATTGTATTGTCATACTGTTTTGTATTCTCAACTTTTTATATTTCAACCCTAAGGCCTCTTGAGCTGCCACAGCGAACTGGGCGTTGAGACCGATTCAATCTGTCAGTTTCTCACTCATTTGACGCTGATCGGATGCCCCAAACCCTCCGCTCCACTCAGTCTCACCGACCATCTAGACTTAATAGGTTTGGGTTTGGCCAACATGACGTTGTGTGCGGGGATCATGTCGTGTCGGAAGGCCAGTGATCAAGTGAGCGGTCGCCAGGTGAGTGAAGTCCAAATGAAGGTCGAGTTGCCTCCCGAAGGAAACATTCAGGTCTCACTTTTTCCCATTTCTCCTACAGATTGTTCATCTTACTCGAGCCCATTTTTTTCCAATTTTCTCCCACGCCCTCGCAGCTTATGTCAAAGCGATTGAGAGTCTTTACTGCCTTAAGGCCCCCTCTTCCACCAGCTATGGGCCTTGCGACACTGGATTCCGTAACCAGTTGATTTTGAAGAGTTCTTAAATACTATAACTTCTCTTTTTTGTAAACGCCCTCTCATTAGGCGGTTGCTTTCACTTCGGCACAAGACTGCGTATTCTTACAGAATCCATGCCCTTTCTGTCCCTTTTGGAAGCATTTTTAAGTTATGCTCACATATGCTCTTTACTACTTACTTTTCTTTTTTTATTTATAAAATAGAAGAACAAAGCCACAGAGGAAGATCCGTTCGGACTTGTTATCGTTGCACCCTACAAAAGCGAGGTCCTCCTAGGCGAAAAGGTGAGTACTTGCTAGTCTAGGCAATAGTTTCTTGGCAAACGATCAGTCTATCAGGGTTTTAAAGACTTAAGTTCTATGCCAAGTTAGTATATTTCGAGACTAACTTGGGGTCTCGTTGGGATAAAAATAACTTGTAATGAGATGTATTCACCCTATTTCGTGTAAGGTGATGAAGGACTGGTAGTAGAATTTT